CCTCCCAAAATCTCTCGGCCGCCTGCTTCACCCCTCATCGCGAGGGCACGTCCGAGGTACAGAAATCAAAGAGAAAAAACAACTGAATGCTTCCAGCCAGGGATTCCCAGAGCCTGAAGGTTACCCGTACCTTTTACCAGTTTCTCCGGTCCTTCCCTGTCCGCCGTGGGGATACCACCCCTCCTCAGCCTGTACTTACAATGCCGGATTTGTTCCCGGGCTTGCAAAGTCCCCGGGTCCCTCTCTGACACAGCTGCCTCGCTTCCCTTGCTGCGAGTGCCACTCTACTCAAGAGAATACGGCTCGCCGGCTCTCCCTGAGCCGAGCTGTTCTCACCGGCTCTGAACAGTCAGTATCTGTGGTGAGGCCGTTGCTCCTCAGCTCCCGGGTCCCGGTGGGGTTTGCCCTGGCCCCAGAAGGTCCTCCCGCACCTGCCGGCCGCCTTTCCCTACGCTCGGGTGCTCCCGACGGCCTCCTCCCCGCCGCCGCTGCCTTCCAGTTTCCTCCGTCCAGCTGCCTTCGGCGTCCCCTTTGTAGGGACCGGAACTGCCTCGAGGCTTCTTCTCCGGTCACACCTGTGTAGGATGAGTGTTCCCGCCCCGGCAATTTGTGCTGTGGGGCATAACCTGGGTTGGTTAATTCTGGGTAGTGGGGTTTCGGGGGCCTCCTGCTCCCTTCCTCCCCCACAACAACATTGAATTATTTTTTCTAATTTGTTAGGTTTTTTAGGTATAATAAATGATACAGCAAAATAATGCACATTCCAATAAAGTTACATTTGTTTTTTCTTTAATCTTAAACAGAATAATACAGCCCTCTGGCCTAGTGTATTAGTAAACTTTCTAGTTTCTTTTTAACTGGAGTAAAATGTGTTACACTGTGTTGATTCATCACACCATATGCACCCCTGCTTCTCAAAATCCTAGATCCACCTATGTAGTTTCTGATGAACAAACTTGAGCAAAGTGTTTTGAAAAACTGTATCTATTTTACAGTTCTATTATTAAGAGATAAAAAGATGGAAGCTTATTTTTTTACTGTGCATCATTTAAGCTGTGTACCCAAAGAAGGTATAACAAGATTGGAAAGTGAAGAACATGATGTTTACTTAATTTTCTAAGTCTGTTCTGTTAGTCCTGTCTTTTTAAAACCAAATTATGGAAGTGTGACCTTCCTTGATTCTATATTTAATATATTAAAAGAACTTCTATGACTTCGTCCATTACTGAAATTAAAAGTAAGTCATATTTTTAGAACCAGATTTAATAATGTTATTAGTTTGGCTTCTTTCCAATTTTCAGTGGTCTCCTCTAAACTGAGGTTATACAACCTCCTATTGTGTTAATTTCAAATTGGAAGCACATAAGTCAAGATTTTGAGAAGAGTCGAGTAATTTTGGATGCCTTAATATATTGGCACTCAACTTGGAACCCAGTACAGGCCCTGAAATTCAGTGTAGGTGCACTGCTATTTCTAAAAATAAGGTCCCTTTTGGCATTTCAGTACAGACAGTATTGCACCCAACACAAAAGTAATGCTATGTATTTTGGACTTTACATATAATAATATAACCTGATGGTTCAGAAAGCTAGTTTTTCTGGGCTGTGAAAGATCATAAGTAAAACTGAATGGACAGAAAAAAATATATATACGGCATTTTATAGGGGAGTTCCAAAGATAACAGCAATGATACTAATACTGTGGTACCATTACTAGCAAAATAATGGTGATTCATGCACAAGACTACCATAAAGAAACAGTGTAGTACATTCATTAATTCTTATTCTCCTTCCTATCTCAAATATCTCAGCAGACAGCACTATTCTCAGACAGAACTAAAGACAGTGGTGTTTAACATCCAGTCTGCATGTCTGGCCAGTGGAACTCTGTCATTATGCTCACAAAGCTCCCCACAGGTCCAGAAATTTGGTGGCAGGGGAATGGTGGCAATTAAGGATGGCTCCCTCACCATCAAATTTCCAAGGCCCAGGGACAGATTACATGGCCCTGTGTGCCTGTTCAGAGCAATACATAGGGCTGGGGCTGGAGTGATGACCTTGATCTGGCATGCATGACACCTGAGCCAAAGCAGTGGGTACAATCTAGTTCATGGGGCCAGAGCCGGACCTGGTATGCATGGGTGTGGCCATGCATCCAATTGTGTCCATTTGCTGACCCTATGCTGGGTGGGGCCCATGAACCAATCCCATGTACTAGATCCATCCTGCAGACTGGCTCCACACCACTCATCTGGCCTGCAGCCCAGAAAGATTGGGCACCATTAACATAGGTGGATATCTTTCACATATATATAGAAAAAAAAACCCTGAAATGAGATATAATGCACAAACACCTATTTTATTTGTAATTGAAGCTGTATTACCCAAGACCTAGTCAGTTCCTTATGAAGACAATTGATCTCATCTCACTAGCTGGCTTAAAGTAAGAATAGACTGATTCCAAAGTAGGGTGTAAGGATCGTACCTCTGAAGTATCCCACAGAACTTCAGGCCCTATGGAAAAGTTTTGAATAAATATATGTGCTCATAACAAGTACATTGAGATAGTCAATACAATCCATTACCTTAATTTACCAGTTATGGTAATTTTGTGTTTTCCAGAAATGTGATTTATCTGGGCTATATCCATGCTATAATTTTCCAGGTATAGAATCTAAGTATTGGAGGATAGTCTTACATTTGTCCCCCACACTACTGCATTGGGGAAAGCAGTAGCAGGGGGCAAGTGATGCAGAGGAAGGCAGCGGAGGGAGCAGTCAGGAGGGCAGTTGGTGGGGAAATCAAGAAGCCTGACTCCTGCCTTTGCCCCCCACCACACATACTTTGTGCCCTGCCTCCTGTCCCCACCCCTGACTTGTTCTATTGATGCTGCCTGTGTGCCCCAGCACCTGGCCCACTCCATACTGCCTACCCAACCTACGCCTCATCTACCTTTCTCCCAACTACTTGTCCCCCCTCATACCTGCATCCTCTGGCACCTGCCTCCCCCTGCTCCCTGCCCCCCTGTCAGACTCTGCCCTCTTTCCCTCCTCAGCCTCTGCCTCCCCGCTGTTTATCCTCTGGCTCCAGCTCAAGCTGGGTTCTGGCCCCACTCCCACTCAGGACATGACCATGTGGTTGCTCCAGCCCCAGTCCAGTCACAGAGCCACTGTTGTGGTGGTGGCAGCTCTGGCCAGGCCCCAGACTGGAGCCCAGGCTGGAACTGCTGCCACTGCCATTGCTGCTACAGGGATGGGCTGGGGCTGGACCAACCATATACTCCATGGCCCATCCTAGAGTGGGTCAGAGACCTGTTGGGGGGCAAGTAGTGGGTGGGGGATAGACAGAAAAGCAGAGACTGCAGAGGAGAATGGAAAACAGGGGAACAGACATGGTATGGGAGTAGGGAGCAGCCATGGCTCTGACCCTGTCCCTGGGTCAGGGCCACAGCAGTTGCCTGTGCCCAACCCCCAACCCCCACCCCAGACGCCTTGTACTCAAATCCAAGACAAGGAACTTTTCCCCCATGTTAAGTAGGAGGGGAAAACTTCATCCAGGATTTGAGTAAATATGGTACATTTCACCCGTTCTAAACCAGTGTGGACCATAATTCCTCTGAAATATCCACAAACCCTATAGATTTTATTACGTAGCATGGTATACACATTAGGAGTGTGAGAAATGGGCCATATTCGATTCAGATTTGGCCCATATCAGGGACAGTAATTCGACTAGTTGATTCAGATCTCTGTCCCCAATTCAATTCGGCCAAATCCCAATCTGAAGATTCAATGCTGATTCAGAGAATCAGTGATTCAGCCATAGACACAACTTTAAATGTGCCTCAAGGTACCAGGCATGGCTCATGAATGCTGCGATGCTGGGGCAGATGGATCATCTCACAGGACTGCCCCCCCCCCCCCACGTGTTCGGCGGCAAACCCAAAAGTGGACTAGAAGTATTTCTGAGAAGTGGACCCCAGGTGCCCGCCCACCCCACCCCAGACTCAGGAGGCATCAGTTGTGAAGCCTGGAGGGGTATGGGGGCTCCCTCCTGTGTGCTCCCCAGTGGACTGGAAGTAGACGAGAAGTGCTTCTGGTCCAACTTCCAGGTCCACTGCCAAGTGCATTGGGGAGCCCCCCAAACTCCTGTGGGATGCTCCATCCGCCCCACCATTGCAGCATTCACGAGCCACCTGGTACTTGAGGTATGCAGAAAAAACATTTAAAGCCACGTCTATGTCCAAATTGCCAAATCTTTCCAAATCTCTCCAGATCAATTCAGAGGGTTCCAATTTGATTCAGAGAGATTAAAGTGTCTCCTGATTCAATTTGGATTCGGAGGTTCACCCACCATATTGGGCCGAATCTCTGCTGAATCGAATCAGGGTCTGAAGCTTTGCATAGTCCTAATCCATGTCCTTATGATTTTACTTATCAAGTCATGGTCTCCACCCTATACTGATAGCGTTAATGTTTGGTTTGAGTGTGTCTGTGGATGGCATACCACAAATACTAAAACTGAGCAGCATCGTTAAATTTATGTTTGTTTATTCTCTGTGTTAGCAGAAGTATACATGGGGAGCTAAGTACGTTGCTCTGTAAATGCTGCACAGTCTGATGAAAAAGAGAAAAAATTAAAAGGGAATTTTATTTTTTAACCTCACCTATGACTTTCAAACCTGTCAATGATATAGGGAAGAGGGGTATTCATTGGGCATTTACTCTGAGCCTTATCTTGGGGTGTCAGTAAGATCTTTGAGACCTGTTTAGTATCTTACTATGTCTTTTGCGATGTGCCATATATTTTCTTGGGTTTTAAGAATAATTATAATCTTCAGTGGTCTATTGGAAAACTGTATAACAATCACAAGAGTTCAGTGGAAAATACCACCTGTCACAGCAGCACAAAACAGTTATACTACGCAGCCACCCTCACCCTCCCCATCCCCGACCCCAGTTTTAACATCTAAATTTCTGTCTATTTCAGATACTTATAAAGTCCCCCCATTACTACAGCAGCTGGTTGTTTCAGAGTTTCATGCAGTTATCCTTAAAACACTCCACTGAGGCAGGGAAGCAGTACAATCTTGGTCGGACAGATGAGATGGACTTCTGAGGCACAAAAAAGCAAAGGTCAGTAAACTTACCATGCTCAGCTGAACAGCCTTCAAGCACAATGTGCCACTTTTTATGGGTTGCCTCCTAAACCAAAAGAAGTATAATTACATCTCTCTGCAACCAGTTAACCAGGGAACTAGTTAATTTGCCCCTGTTACTCAGCAGTATTAATTAATTCATGCACAGATTCACACAGATGTGGTTACACTGCTTCAGACTTAAGAAGCTTGCTGCCTGATATAGCAGTGTGTCTGAGGGCACTGCTGTTGAAGTCAGTAAGCTAGTTATGTAGCAACTTATATGATTTGCCTGGTGTTATGTTGTGGTGTAGCAGAACTTAAAATTGATGTATCTGAGGCCTAGGTTAGTGCCCTAATCACTACACCATACTTCTCTTGGTAACAAACCTTTTCTCTCACACCTTTTTAGATTCTCTTCTCCCAAGGATATTTCCACCTTCATTCACTTTATGATACTAGTATGCAGCCTAAGAATTCAAAAAAATATTTTCCCTTGGCAAATTCTCAGTGCCCTTACTGACTGTACTGCATGTGGAAATGAGAAGACATATTTAACGCAAATATTATGATTATTTATACATTTATTATAATTTTACAGGACTTTTTTCAGCTGGAGTTTCTTTTCTGGGAAAGAGCATAGAAGGCTTTAAGGAAAAAAAGCATCACTTGGTGCCATAAACTATCTAGGACTTGATCCTGCCTGTATTGCTTGAAGTCAAAGGGAAATATGTGTGCGTAGGAAAAGCAGAACTGAGCCCTTGGCAAACATCTGTGTGTTTTTTAAAGGAAACTTTTATGATAAAATAGAGAAAGAGGGAAACCAGTACTTTATAAGCATCAAATCTGTTTCAGCTCAAAAACCTGACCATGCAATTATATAGATGGCTTTTCTCACATAAATAGATCCATTGATCAGCTTTATTCTTGTGAGCAGAGTTTTGTTATTGTATCATTTTCCACCTTGCAAATATGGCTTGATCTGCCAAACATACACTTAACTTTATACGGGCAAATCATTCTATTTCAACGCAAATATTCATATGCATAAAGTTGCAGGAAAGAGATCTAAACCTGAACCTGGGGGAAACTAAAACAAAAAGTAACCTGGAAAATTCAGATGCATATAATTTAAATGCCTTGCGCATTAAAAATATAAGAAAGTGGATAGACTATAATTGTCCTGAAGACATTTTTTTAGCCCAGAAAAAGTATGTGATACCTTTTGCGTACAAACAACATTTTCCATAGCCGTTTTTAAGTCTTTTCTCTTACTCTTTTTTCCCCCGTCCCTCTCCTCACACAAACCCCAGCTTACTCTGAACATTTTAGAAAAAATGTAATCAAAATTAGATTGTTTAATAGGAAATAATCTTTTAGATATGTTTAATTATTTTAATTATATGTCTTTTTGTGCTTGAGTTTTTGCATTTTAAAGTATTTTGAGGGCCATTAATGAAGCTTTTTATGTTTTTGCTTCCTTTCTTTTAATTTATAGAGAATTCACATTCACAGAGCAAGCAGTTGGGTTATTTTCATCATTATTGAGCTAATATTGTGCTTACAATGATATCATTCCTAGTCTTCTACAATACCTTACTAATTAGGCTTAAAGGGTAGTTTTTTCCCATTGTACTCATATACTGATTGTTTCTTCACTACTCTTGGCTCTTCTGCCAGTACTGCCAGCTGCTCCTTCATGCTTTTACTACATGAACAAAATACATTTTCTCTGAAATGTCAAGAAATGCAATTAACTTTGGTTTGACCTTTTCTTCCCCTTAAGTGCACTGATTTGAGTTTCTGTATACAACACAGTAACATTTTTTGTATTATAAAAGTATTTACTTGGGATACTAACACCCGAAATAGTAAATGCAACTTTTTCCAGAAATACCATATTTTCTCGAATCTAAGATGAAGTCTCCCCCCAACCCCCCACATTTAACAAAAGGGGAAAAAACCCTTGTCTTGGATTCAAGTACCAGATGGCAGGATGACAAGTGGCTGCTGCATCTTTAACTCCAGCCCCAACTCTGGGTTGGAATTATCACTGCAGGCATAGTCCGCCTCCTGCCACTTCTGCCCATGCCACTGCCTGCCCCCTCCCACTGCCACCTCTGCTTCCTTCCCCCCCCACCACCACTGCTTACCTCTCCAGCTCCAGCATGATGCATGGGCACCAGACTGGAGCTGCCACCACCACAGCAACTGATGCATGGCTGAGCTGGGGCCAGAGCAACCATGTGTTCTGTGCTCTGGGCTAGAGCAGGGACAGAGCTGTGCTGGAGCTGGAGGGGTAAATGACAGTGGCAGGGAGGGGGAGATAGGTAGGAGGGGCTGGCAGGGGAGCAGAAGCTGCAGGGGGCAAGTGGTGGCAGGGCACAGGCTGTGGAGAAGGGCAGGCATTGGCAGGGGAGATGCCAGGGGATGCAGGCTTGTGGGTGCAAGTGGCAGTGGGAGCAGGTGCCATGGCGGACAGGTACTGCAGGGGGGCAGGTGCTAGGGCATGCTGACACTGGTCAGGGACAAGTTGGGGGGGGGAACAGAGACAGGGTGGTGGAGTGGGGCGCGGGGGGCAGAGGCAGGAGTCAGGCCACTTGACTATCCTGATATCTGCTCCCTGCCATTACTTGCCTGTGGGAAGGGCAAATTTAAGACAACCCTCCAATAATGTGATTCTATACATGGAAAACTATAAGAAATTTATAAATTTTCCTTGTATACAATCTAATTATTAGGGAGTCATCTTAA